GCTGGGTGCACTGATGCTAATGCTTTATTTTGCTTTCCGTGCTTGCTTTTTAAAACGACGGGGTCAGATTCAGCATGGACAGGTACCGGAGTGAGGGATATGAAGCACCTGTCAGAGAAGGTAAAGAAACATGAGAACACCAGGGCACACATGGACAACTCTGTAAAGCTAGCTGTATTAGGAAGGGTGAACATTGCTACGCAGCTGGATGACGGCCACAGGATTGCGGTGAGGAAACACAATGAGGAGGTGGATAAAAACAGGCACATTCTATCCAAAATTATCGATTGTGTGAAGTTCTGTGGGGCTTTTGAGTTGGCCTTGCGTGGGCACGAGGAGACTGACTCCTCAGACAACCCCGGCATTTTCCGGGGCTTAGTGGATTTTGTTGCCTCCCTCGAGAGTGTGCTGGAGGAGCACCTGAAGACAGCTACCGTTTTTAAGGGCACGTCAAAGACGATACAGAACGAGCTGTTGGACTGTATGCTGTCAATGCTTAAGGATTACATCCTGGAGGAAGTAAAGAGTGCTGATTTTATCGCCATTCAAGCTGACGAGACGACTGACGTTTCCACCCACTGCCAGTTGGTGCTTGTGTGAGTGATTATCATAGAGCCGTCACAATTATATTTGTTTTAGTATTTTAAAAGGAAAGAGAAGACACAATCAGACGTTGATAATAATGCAGGAAAGTACTACACAGTTTGTAATAATTATTCAGGTGTCCACCAGGTCAATTTCTAGAAGAGGCCTAGTTGTTATTGAATATTAACTTTATTGCTAAGTGAACAGCAGAACAAAATGATGTTGCATCCCTCTCACAAATGTAATAGAAAAAGGCTTTAAAACGTAATAACATCAGTTAATTATGTACATCACAGGTTAAAAGCAGTTACTAGACATAGTTTGTGTGTATATACACACTGTCTGTCTGTCTGTCTGTCTATATATATATATATATATATATATAATATATATATATAAAAGTCACTGGTTGTGTGTTGAGGGGGAATTACAGTGAGTTAAGAAGTCTGATTGCAAGTTATCAAATTAAACTTTATTTTTTGGACCCAGGGCCTCAATTCCCTCTTTGTGTGGGCACAGCGTATCTGACGAGCAGCAACAGCCCATCAAGCGACGGAGGATGCTGGGACCAGGAGAACAACAGAGGTTGGCTATAGAGGTAAGTTGTGATGTAATTGTCAGTGTTTCCCACCTAGAACTTTTTTCAGGCCTGGTAGTATGTAGCCAAAACCCTGAACAATCAGCACCTTGGTAATCATATACTTGAGTTGGACATAGGCATGTGTCAGTCAGGATCACTTGCATCAAAATAGCTTAATTGCAAATTAAAGCTGATTATGTATCTTTTACAGGTATGTGATACCATCCTGAGTCATGCCAAAGAGAGGTTCTCCTTCACCCAGCACCTCATCAGCGCAACACTATTGCACGGAGAGTTGTTCCCACAACACAGTGTGAAGTTCCCCGATACAGCGCTTGAAACAACCGTGGAGGCGTACCCCATGTTGAACAAGGCCAAGCTCAAAACCGAACTGTCCCTCATCTATGAGAACAGTGAGTTCAAGGCTTGTAGTGGTGCAGTGCCCCTGTACCAGTTCTTCATGGAGAACAACCTTCAGAGCACTTTCACAGAGACTGCCAGCCTCCTCAAGATCCTCATCACCACACCCATGACAACTGCTGAGTCAGAATGGTGCTTCTCTACACTGAAAAGGATCAAGACCTTCCTGAGAAACAGCATGACACAGGATCGCCTGAACGCTCTGGCCATGCTCTCCATGGAGAAGAAACTTGTCAGGGACATTCCTGACTTTAATCAAAGGGTCATTGAGAGGTTTGCCACTCAGAAGGACAGACGGGCAAAATTCCTGTACAAATAAGATGACAGACACACACACACAGAGCAGCTCTGGCCGCATGTTTCTTTGTATATAGTTGACCTTAGCATAAAAAATCCAGTTATATATGGTACTCTAGAAAGTCTTAATAGTGTCTTTGCTAATATTACTGTATATAGGTTGTTTTGTATCAATTAATTGTTGCAGTTCTGGAGCACATTAACAATTAGTCACATTTAGTATGATCATAAAATACTGTATGCTATTCTTCCAGTCAAAGGTTTGAGTTCATCCACTTGATATCCATTTCTATATTATACATCCTTTTATACAGTGTAAGATTTCCTATAAACTTTATAATAATTTCATGTTATTGTCCACTTTCCACTCTGTTCTGACAGCATGCCTGTTGCGTTGCCTGTTTACTACCAATGGTGAAAAGTTCACTTTAAATGCAAATGAAAGGCTTGGGTTTGTGTAATATGTTTTTGTGTAAGAATGCCTCAACTTTTTAATATTGGCATTAAATAATTACTGAATGTTTCACTGAGCACTGCTGTCCTGCAGTTTGTGTTAAAATATATCGCGATGGTTACAGGAAAAAAAAAGTATGGCACAGCCCCACCGAGAATATTTTTCACCAGCCGCCACTGATTGTTTAGAAGGAATGCAACGGCGAATTGATTTATTGCACATGTGCACTTCACAGAGTAGGCGTTCCCTAACGGAAATATCTCGCTAGCTCGTGCTTGGGCTCTGCTTGTTCTGCCCACTAGGACTCATTTGTTCCTATTGGAAACGACAGGCGGTGGTCTATCTGGGTTCAGTTAAACACATCTTTGTCCATTCCCTTTTTGGGTGCGTTCGGCCGCGTTATCACGTGATTTCAAGGAAACTAGTGACGTTGGGAAAACACAGTGATGGAAAGAAGCGAATAAATTACTAGAATAAATTACTAACGTTCATGTCTATGTATTTACATGTCTGTTTTCATTTCTGCTTTTACGCAAAGGGGAAATAACACGTTCTTCCGAAAGGGATTCATCAAGGAAGGCATGTCTTCAGGTAAAATTATTTATTAATGCCAGCATTTACTTCAGATCAAGAAACAGTGTATACCATTTTACTAGCGAAGTCATTGTTAGAAACACTGTAGACTTGGAAGACCACAGATCTCTTAACTTTTCTTGATGTCATTAAAATAGTTTGTTGTGTTTTAATCATTTCAAGAGTTGTAGACACCTGATTTATATAAACACATAACAGTAGCCTAAAGTAAGTCGCTAAGCGTAGATATAGTCAAGTGTGTTAACCTGTCCCAATATTGGATCATGCAACCTTTTCGTTAAATCAATAGATGCAACACAAAACTCTCACTAGGGCTGTACCTTTCCTTTTGCGTGAGCAGAATAACTTCATTTTCACTTCTGTATTCAATATATTTTGTTTTTCAGAACAATGACCAACAATGGACCATTCCTCTAGACAATAATAAAAAAAAAGGTTTTAGGAATAAGAAGATATGAAACATTTCCTTCTAACTATTTATTTGATGTTGCAGTGTTTTTATGGTAAGTTGTCACTGCTATTATGGGTTTAAGAACAGGTTCAACATAGCATTTCAGTGTTTACTGCTGGTTTTCTCAAACTAGGGGTCAATTTGAAAATGCGGTCGCGGGAGAAAATTCGGGGTAGATTCTAGATGCAGTTGTAGTAAACAGACCGGTTTCTGTTTTCTTCTTACAAATGTGCCTCTCTTTTTAATGTTTTAAGCTAAACAATATTATGAAGCCTTCACTGAAAGATAAGACTCTACTATGCCCACAAGCCGTTAGAATCAGAGCATGTGCAGACCAGCTGGCTGGTGTGTTTATGGACATATTCAATCTCTCCCTTTCCCAGTCTGCTGTTCCCACATGCTTCAAGATGTCCACCATTGTTCCTGTACCCAAGAAAGCAAAGGTAACTGAACTAAATGACTATCGCCCCGTAGCACTCACCTCTGTCATCATGAAGTGCTTTGAGAGACTAGTCAAGGATCATATCACCTCCACCTTACCTGACACCCTAGACCCACTTCAATTTGCTTACCGCCCCAAAAGATCCACAGACGATGCAATCGCCATCACACTTCACACTGCCCTATCCCATCTGGACAAGAAGAATGCTGTTCATTGACTATAGCTCAGCATTCAACACAGTACAGGTGCATCAAAGCTGGGACCGAGAGACTGAAAAACAGCTTCTACCTCAAGGCCATCAGACTGTTAAATAGCCATCACTAGCACATTAGAGGCTGCTGATGCCTATTGAAATCACTCGCCACTTTAAGAAATGGAACACTAGTTACTTTAATAATGTTTACATATCTTGCACTACTCATTTCATATGTATATACTGCATTCTATTCTATAATATTCTACTGTATCTTAGTCCATGCCGCTCTGTCATTGCTTGTCCATATATGTATATTTTCTTAAATTCCATTCCTTACTAGTTTTGTGTGTATTGGGTATATGTTGTGAAATTGTTAGATATTACTGCACTGTCGGAGCTAGAATCACAAGCATTTCGCTACACCCGCTATAACATCTGCTAAACATGTGTATGTGACAAATAAAATGTGATTTGATTTGAATCGAGTTGACAAGACCAGACACTAAATCAGACTAAGGAGGAAAGAACATCGTCAATGATGATGTTATTTTCTACACAGATCATACAACATTATAGCCTGATGATCTTCTGAACTTCCCAATACCTTACTGGTGCATTTCAGTCACTTCGAACCATACTGTCTTTTAGATTGAAATACTGTCAGACTGATTCATAATAGACTGTCATAGCCACATTAAGAAAGTAAACATTGGCCGTTGATTACATAACATGGTGGTGTCATGAAAAAAAATGTAATATCAAAATGTTATATCAAAAAATGGGGTCATGGGCCAAAAAAGTTTGAGAACCCCTGGTTTAATGCCAGGTACTGGCAGCAAGTTATTGATTTACTGTACCTTGGCTGGGATAAGATACTGCAATCTCTATTTGCTCTCACACATACACCCACAAACAGTCTGTGTCTGTGGGCAGTAGAGTGGCTTGTACTGTATGTTATCTTCACTGATGTGTTTGATGATAATGGCCCTCTGTGTATCCATCCTAGCCCTGCGTACCCTCCCTGCTCCAGTCAATGTTACCATAACTTCCCTCAACTTCCAGTCTGTTCTACGCTGGATCCCTGGGCCAGGCACTCCGTCCGGGACCATATACAGCATCTGTAACAGGTTGTCACCCACACCCCACACAACCCCCATCCATATTAAATGAAATATGATTATAGTATCACCCATCATAATGATTTTAGTTTGTTTATCTCATTGGATATTTCTACTACTGCATTGTGGTTAGGTTTATGGACTTAAGACAAAATATGTTGATCTGATTCCCATGACACTTGATATGACTGGGTTGTAACGTGTGTCAGAGGTTAGGTGTAGTAGTAGTAGTAATAATAATAATAATAATATGCTAAAATTACAGTTTAAATCATAACTTTCCAGTGAGTGTTTTATTGAAAAGCAATGTCTTCAGTCAGAGCATTTTTGTGTTTCACTTTGTGGCGCTAAGCGCAGGTCTTAGACATAAGCTTTGAACTTTAACCATAACCTTTACATGTGTATTGCAACATTCAGAACAATCTGCCTATCTTACCAAGTGTGTTGTGGATGGAACATCTGACTGCAGCGTGAAGTGTTTTCTCAAGTTTTTCTTTCACTTGACCAAAGCTAACGGCTCTGTGTCGTTGTGGTTATAGTTTGCACCCTCATAGTGTCTCTGCTCCAGAGACAATACTCTGCTCTGCAGGTCTTACCACTGAAAAAGGCCTGGGAATTTGAAGGGAATTCAATCTTTTTAATTACGTTTTATTAGGATCCCCATTAGCTGACGCCATAACGTCAGCTAATCTTCCTGGGGTCCAACACAAAACTAACAAGACATTACAAACATTTACAGCTCACATTAAGACATTACAAACATGTACAGTTCACATTAAGACTACAAACATTTTAACAAGTAGACATTACAGACAATTAAAATACCTGACAAGTAATACATTTAACATTCATTAGATGTTCTATAGTATCTGTCATATGGTCCATCACATTAGATGTTCTATAGTATCTGTCCAGTCATATGGTCCATCACATTAGATGTTCTATAGTATCTGTCCAGTCATATGGTCCATCACATTAGATGTTCTATAGTATCTGTCATATGGTCCATCACATTAGATGTTCTATAGTATCTGTCATATGGTCCATCACATTAGATGTTCTATAGTATCTGTCCAGTCATATGGTCCATCACATCTCCTTCTGCTGGGATTCTGTTGAGGCTCCAGCAAGTCAGGAAGCTGAGCTGAAAACACAGCTTTCTTTTGTTTGAACTACAGATTTGATTTATTTTAGCAGGGAGTCCCATTGAGACCAGGCCTCTTTTCCAAGGGAGCCTAGCATGAACACTATTTATAAAGGGCGGCAGGTAGCTTAGTGGTTAAGAGTGTTGTGCCAGTAACCAAAAGGTCGCTGGTTCTAATCCCCGAGCCGACTAGGTGAAAAATCTGTCGATGTGCCCTTGAGCAAGGCACTTAACCCTAATTGCTCCTGTAAGTCGCTCTGGATAAGAGTGTCTGCTAAATGACCAATTATAATTATAATTATAATTATAAAATGTACAACATTTAACAATGAAGTAAGGTATGGTGGAAGTTTGCCCAAGAGGGCTATATACAAAAAGAGAGCAGTGCATTGATCTACAAGACTTACCAGAGGGCCTGCCTACTTTCTGATACAGAATGCAGTGACTAGAGATCCTGGTTCGAATCCAGGCTCTGCTGTAGCTGGCCGCAACCGGGAGACCAATGGGGCGGCGCACAATTCGTCCAGGGTAGGGGAGGGAATGGCCGGCAGGGATGTAGCTCAATTGGTAGAGCATGGCGTTTGCAACGCCAGGGTTGTGGGTTCGAATCCCACGGGGGGCCAGTATGAAAATAAAAAAGAATAATGTATGCACTAACTGTAAGTCGCTCTGGATAAGAGCGTCTGCTAAATGACACTAAATCAGACTAAGGGGGAAAGAACATCGTCAATGATGATGTTATTTTCTACACAGATCATACAACATTATTGCCTGATGATCTTCTGAACTTCCCAATACCTTTCTGGTGCGTTTCAGTCTCTTCAAACCATACTGTCTTTTAGATTGACAGTATGTCAGACTGATTTGCGATTAGACTATCATAGCCAAATTATGAAAGTAAACATTGGCCGTTGATTACGTAACTTGTTTTTAACGTGGTGGGGGTCACGAAAATAATTCACATCAAAATGGGGTTGCGGTACAAAAAAGTTTGTGAACCCCTGGTTTACTGCCAGGGACTGGCAGCAAGTTAATTATTTACTGTACCTTGGCTGGGATATCAATCAATCAATCAATCAATCAAATGTTATTTATAAAGCCCTTTTTATATCAGCAGATGTCACAAAGTGCTATACAGAAACCCATCCTAAAACCCCAAACAGCAAGCAATGCAGATGTAGAAGCACGGTGGCTAGGAAATACTCCCTAGAAAGGCAGGAACATAGGAAGAAACCTAGAGAGGAACCAGGCTCTGAGGGGTGGCCAGTCCTCTTCTGGCTGTGCCGGGTGGAGATTATAACAGTACATGGCCATTTAAGGCCAGATTTTACAGTGGCAAGCAATGTTCCCTCTAATTTTTCACGGCACTGAGCGAATTTCAGGTCTGCTGTTCGCAAACTTGTACATTGTGAAAATTCAGTGCAACTTCCAGCGCACGTTTACTGTGACCACTGAGGCTGTACCCACTGTAAGTTACAGTTTAAACAGTGGCCATGTAGGCTACTGTGGCTATTTGATCATAATGTAGGCCTACCAGAGTGGCCTACCATCAAAAACAATGGAGAAAATGCATCCCAGAACAATTTAACATGGAAATAGCTGTTCTATTATTCAGGCTACAGTAGAAGCCAACGGGTGGTGTTCAATGTAGGCCTACATTCCATGAGGCTTTTGAAAAAAATAATGCAGGGCTTGACATGAACCTGTTTATCCACTTGTCCTTCAGACGAGGAGGTGACTGAACATGTTGTTGTGTTGTTTGATGCAAGAAACCACTTTACAAAATAACATGCTTTATTATTCCCTTACAATTATTACAGAGAATCAGACAAATTATGCTACCCTCTGCCTATTGGCTACTTATCTTATTCAAGCCTGTCTCAAAATACAACACTGCCCTTTTTAAGACATAAAAAAAAAGCTTTTTACCTGACTCGCTTTTCAAAGATGTCTAGGAATATACAGTGGGGAGAACAAGTATTTGATACACTGCCGATTTTGCAGGTTTTCCTACTTACAAAGCATGTAGAGGTCTGTAATTTTTATCATAGGTACACTTCAACTGTGAGAGACGGAATCTAAAACAAAAATCCAGAAAATCACATTGTATGATTTTTAGGTAATTAATTTGCATTTTATTGCATGACATAAGTATTTGATCACCTACCAACCAGTAAGAATTCCGGCTCTCACAGACCTGTTAGTTTTTCTTTAAGAAGCCCTCCTGTTCTCCACTCAGTTCTGCTTTTCTGATGTATCAAATACTTATGTCATGCAATAAAATGCAAATTAATTACCTAAAAATCATACAATGTGATTTTCTGGATTTTTGTTTTAGATTCTGTCTCTCACAGTTGAAGTGTAGCTATGATAAAAAATTACAGACCTCTACATGCTTTGTAAGTAGGAAAACCTGCAAAATCGGCAGTGTATCAAATACTTGTTCTCCCCACTGTACATATTTTGTGCTCTTGTAGGAAGCAATCACTCCCCTATTGCTGACTACAAATGATCTATAACTGGGATAATAACTCACTAACTACCAAAGGATATGAACAAAATGTGCACACGTGGCTACATGCAGCTCTCGCTTTGATCTCAAAACAAGCGCATCTACTCACGACCACAGCTGTAAACACAGTCCAGATCAAAGTAAATGGCACAGATCCATGTATGGCAATGGTCTGTTTTGCATATAGGACTACAGCAGCTCTGATTGGTTAATGTCGCACCGGTCTGTGTAAGCTGAGTGGTGTTTGTCAATGCAATAGAATCCTACTCCGATGCGTTCTGCATATAACAAAATCTCTTGCATAGTTTATTTTGTTTTCGGTATGTTGCATTGAAAGTGTTTTAATATTGCGTCGATTCGATCACTATTGCCACAGTAAAAGGGAAACGTTGATAGTGTTAACTAACAGGGAAAACTCTAGATAGTTGAGTGAAGTTCAATCTCGTGCTTCTCTCTGTGGGTTGATACAGTATTTCTTCTGCGTGCAGTCCCGGGGCAGCTGGACGGCAGCAGTGTCGGGCTACTCCACGCAGCTTAGAGCGAACATTGGCACTGGCAAGTGCATTCATATAGAAGATACCGCCGTAGTCTAAAGCCGGTATGAATGTAGACTGAATGATTTGTTTTCTGCTATTTAACGAAAGACATTCCCTATTCCTCTTAACTAACTCATCTATATGTTTTTTTTTTTTAAAGAGATAGCTTTTCGTCAATCCAGATATTTATAACCAAATCCAAATACCCAGATATTTATAACCAAATCCAGATACCCAGATATTTATAGCACTGGACACCATCAATGTGGGCACCATCCAATGTATATATGCATAAATCATCAGATACATTTCTAATCTTTTTGGAATATATTATGTGCGTAGATAAATACTCTTAAGCCATTATGGAACAGGAAAGACTCCTAAAGCAGTAATGTGGCTACACACAACACTCTGAAGCAGAATAGGTCTTGTTGAGGACTGAAGACCACATTGATTATCAAATTATAATTATTTGGAATCCAAAAGAACTCACTGTACTTTGTCAATAAAGTTATTGAACTAGATCTACTTTGTTATTTTATTTATAAAAAATGTACCTCCTTATTTCTATTTTAGCAGCGAAGACAACATCAAACCGAAACATCAAACCAACACGACAAATCAGAAGCTGGATCTGAAGTACCCCAAAGAACGAGCCATATTATATGTTCAGGCTTCCCACAAACGCTTAGTGTCGCCATGTGTAAACATCAACTTCACCCCCTTCACAAAGAGTACGTCTGCTGGTAATGTTGTCTTGCTAATAGGCAGATGATGATACTTCTGCTAGGGTTTTTTAACCAGGTGTGAGTGCCATTATTTACATTAGCCAAGTTGACATCTCACAACACAATCTAGGCATGTATTTGGGGCGTGAACGTGTCTGTTTTTATAATGTTTTTGTAAAAACAAAAATACTAAATAAAAAGTGAAATGATGCTACAGTACCATTTTGTCTTCCACAGCTCGTATTGGTCCTCCAACATTTTCTTTGGATGGATGTGGCAGTTGCCTGGTAATCAACATCACGCTGCCTGAGATGAGAACCATTAAAGATGTCTATGGGAGCACCCTATCCTTTAGCATTTTCTGGAAGAAAGCAGGAGAGACGCAGGTAAAAACAAGAGTACCTATCCTTTCCCTGTCTTCATTGTAGTGTCAAATTGTAATTATTATTATTTTTTACAAATGATGACAATGTGGACTATTTCATCTAAATGAATACTCTTTCATCATATTCATTTTCAGTTTCAAGAGACCCTTATAACTCATTCAAGTTATGTGCTGGAGAACTTGAAGGTGGGCGTAGAGTTGAAGACCCACCTGCCTAGAGCACTGGTGAGAAATTGATCTATCTTGTAGCTAACCACACCCCACACTCTCACTCATTTTTGTTCAATTCAATTCAAAGGGCTTTAGTGGCATGGGAAACATATGTTTACATTGCCAAACCCATCTCTCTCACAACTCTCTCGCTGTTCGTCTGTGATATTATTTGTTTGTATTTGCCGTTGTTTCAATGTTGATCTGTTGGTCCAGGATGTGAATTTGTGGAGCTTAAGAAATGCAAAGCCAAAGTAAATTCCTGTTAAAGCCAAATAAGATTCACTTCAACTCTTTCATGCCCTGTAGTCCACATAAAGTGAAATCAGCATCAGGCAGTGACATCACTGTGACTTTCTCTGTGTCTAACACAGCCTCTCTCTCCTCCCTCTCTCCATGCAGACTGCCCTGGTTGAGGGCTACTTCGTCACCCCAGAGAGAATAGTTCCTGACCTGGTCTCGATATCCTCTGAGCCAGAGGAACAAGGGAAGACCCTCGGACCAAAAACACACCACAACAGAGAGAACACAAACCAAGAAGGGGAGGAGGAGGAAGAGGAGGAGGAGGAGGAGGAGGGGGGGGGGAAATGATTTATACATGGACCGCACCGCGGGGCTCTCCTCTGATAGCAGCTCTAGCACCACACAGTCTCAGGATGCATCAGGGGCCAATGTGGCCCTTCTTAACGCAGCAGGGCATTCTGGGGGGTTGAGTTCTGAGGCAGCTGCTGAGGAGGATGAGGAAGCTCCAGTGGGTGTGGTGGTGCTTGGAGGTCAGGGTCAGAGAGAGGTCAAAGGTGAACTAGCTAAGGTCATTTACAGCCTAGATGTAGACCAACCCAGACCTCTGGGACTTGTAGGGTTGGGTGGAAAGGAGGAGGAGGAGGAGGAGGAGGAGGAGGAGACCTCTGGTAACGTCAATCTGTTCTCTGTGACTCTGGGGGCTTTAAAGAGGGAGGAGGAGGATGAGACAGATGTTTTATTAGGCTGTTCCAAACAGGAGCAGAAGCCTCTACTTCCCATAGACTCCTTACAGAGGATATTAGGACAGGACAGCATGAGATCACAGGGTGAGATACAGGAAGATACAGGGCTAGTACTGACACCGCCGCAGACAGACTGCACACACACACACTCTGGATATTCAGTTAGACGTGCTGCCAGCTGCACAGGGGCATTCTCTGACTGACTTCCTGGTAACGCACACTGGCACTGCGCAGTCTCACAATGAGACAGAGGAGGAGGAAGATTTCTCAGGGTACATGGGACGTTGATCTGTGTGTGTGTGTGTGTGTGTGTGTGTGTGTGTGTGTGTGTGTGTGCACGTGTGTGCACGCGCAGTGTAGGCCTACAGTGTAAGTGTGTCTTAGCCGATAATTGCACAGATATTCCACTTGGTTGGATATGCCATCTATCACATACATTCCTTCCCAAATATTGCCTTCTGTTGAGAATGTGTATGTAAAACAGTGGTATTCAAACTTTCTCCCCATCCCCACCCAAAATCTAATGACACAGCCTTAAAATGTGTCAATTTCAACATCAACAAATAACATTCAATTATTACATTTTCTAAATAAAAATAAACCAATAAATACATTTACTCAATAACGTTAGATTTTTTTTAAATGATATTTCTCAAAAACGCTTGTGTGTTGTCCCAAACTATAGTCTGTATTCTTATTTTGTGTTTTTTTTATTTTTTATTTTAGTTACTTGAAGACCTTAATGCGGTTCCCCCACCCCGACTTTGAATACCACTGATGTAAAATAATAAGTCCCCTAAAATGCCATTCACATGTTTTTGTATGTCAGTTTCATTCATTGTAATGTAAGTGCAAATTCATGAAAGAAGAATTAAGAGCTCAATGATCAAGTCTTGACACGGTTTTGGTGTATAATGTGTTTTTTTAGGCTAGTGTTTCTAAAAGTTATTCTGTGGGAAATTCCTTGATACCGCGAGACCATTATGTCATATTAAAGTACTCTGCTCTCTAAAAAAACGAAATGCTTAATCTGAAACAATGTCCTCTAGGTAAAGCCAATCCGTTCGTATAGAAATCTGTGGTTGGTTGCTCTACACACCGACGTCATTTCCAGTAGCGCGCTGTTATGCGGCGTTGACAACAACTGGGAACTGGGGAAAATACTAGGTCAAATCACGACGTCAGTGATCTTCAGGTGGGAAAGACAGATCTCTCGAAAGAGGCCGGAGTTCCCGAGTTGGATGACTGTTCAAAACGATTTTTCCCAGTCGGAGCTAGTTTTTTTTTTTTTTTTTTTCCGATTTCCCATTTCGTTTGAACGCTCGGAAGTCGGAGATGTCCGAGTTCCCATTTGTTTTTAACGCGGCAAAAAACCTTTGGCATTACTACAAGCTGGCAGCAGTTGCGGGAAGCATCTTCAATTGTGGCGGAGGACTGACTCTTCTTGTTTTTAACTTTCTGTTGCCAACCAGGCAGAAAATGTGAACATCTAATATCGGTAGCTATGTTTTATTGTTATTGCATTATGCCTGGCGTTATCAAAGGATAGCTACTGTTTGGCCTTGGCTTTGTTAGCGAGAAGCTAACGGAGTCATGGTATTAGGGGTACAGTCAGCTAACTTGTGTTGCTAGCGGTTATCATGTTTTGTTCTAACTATCTCTGTTGCACACTTGTTTTGATCCGGCGGACTCACTAAACACAAAGGATTCGTTTGTAAGTTATGTGCGAGTGTTGGGAGTGTTCCCCTGGCTATCCGTCAATGAATAAAAAAACAATACTGTGCGGTGTGGGTTGCTTAATATAAGCAATTTGAAATGATTTATACTTTTTAACTTTTGATACTTAAGTATATTTTTTGCAATTTACATTTACTTTTGATACTGAAGTATATTTAAAACCAAATACATTTAGACTTTTACTCCAGTAGTATTTTACTGGGTCACTTTCACTTTTACTTGAGGGATGTAGCGCAGTTGATAGAGCATGGCGTTTGCAACGCCAGGGTTGTGGGTTCGATTCCCACGGGGGGCCAGTATAAAAAAATAAAAATATATAAAATATGTATTCACTAACTATAGCATATTATAGCATATAAGTCGCTCTGGATAAGAGCGTCTGCTAAATGACTAAAAATGTAAATGTAAATGTAAACTTAAGTCATGTTCTATTAAGGTATCTAAGTATGACAATTGGGTACTTTTTCCACCACTGCTAATTGGCCACCTGAAACGAGAATTAGTGATATCAACTAGTTATGCCACCTAGCTATAGAGGTTTCCGTTTCCATTATCACAAAGCAGCACATTTCTGTAAAAAATAATTATAAGGAAAAGTAACACATTCTCTGACACCATCCCAGGTTGCAATAGCCTAATGTAGCTTGCCAAATTAGGCCGTTTTTCCCTTCATCTTTCCACAATTCCAGCACAATGTTGGTTTGAGTTGTGTGAAAGAAAGTGCTCCTCAAATTATGAATCCCAGTCCCCCCTCAATCGCATAAGTATGAACACTGTTTAACAGCACATGCACAACTCAATCGTCGGATCCTTTGAACCAAGTGAACAAACGCCACACCCAAAGAGACCCATGCAGCCTATCCTGTCCTTTCAGCTAGAAGAGGATGGACGTGAAAGCTGCTGCACAGTGGAGTCAAGGTGGAGGATGGAAGAGTCATGACCACTGAGTGTTGTGGCAATGGTGTCATGACTCCAGTGATATGGCTGGTTGCCTGGTTACTACAGGCACATTCAGGTGAGACATTTTGCATAGCTTGTCCTCCCTCTGCCTCTTGTATGGTATATGTTCCACGGGAACGTTATGGCTTCATGATTGTAGTCATCATTACTGTATTTCTGAGGGGTAATACTTAAAGTAACTGTCCAGTGGGATTTCTTTTGAAATAATGACCTATAATGAATTACAATATGAGTGAAATATTTTTTATTCCTAAAGATGCTAATTTAAGTATGTTAAAAAGCAGCTTTCCTGTGTTTGAATGGTTGGCCGTACCCCAGCAACAATATGGTGTGGGTGTGGCTTATACTTTAAGTTACTTTGAGCAGTAAGGCCTGAGTGGGTGTGGTCTATTTAAGCAGTAAGGCCTGAGTGGGTGTGGTCTATTTAAGCAGTAAGGCCTGAGTGGGTGGGTTAAATTTTAAAAATAAGGCCTGAGTGGGTGTGGTCTAAATTTAAGCAAAAACGCCTAGGTGGGGTGGGCTATTTAAGCAAAACGCCCGAGTGGGTGTGGGGCTATTTAGCAATAAGGCCGGGAAAGGGGTGTGGTCTATTTAGAAAAAGGCCTAGTGGGTGTGGTATATTAAGAAACGCCTGAGGGGTGTGGTTAAGGCAATATGGCCGGAAGGGGTGTGGTCTATTTAATCAATAAGGCCTGAGTGGGTGTGGTCTATTTAAGCAATAAGTCTGAGTGGGTTTTGGTCTATTTAAGCAATAAGGCCTGAGTGGGTGTGGTCTATTTAAACAATAAGGCCTGAGGGGTGTGGTCTATTTAAGCAAAAATGCCTGAGTGGGTGTGGTCTATTTAAACAATAAGGCCCCGAGGGGGTGTGGTCTATTTAAGAAATAAGGCCTGAGGGGGTGTGGTCTATTTAAGCAATAAGGCCTGAGTGGGTGTGGTCTATTTAAACAATAAGGCCTGAGGGGGTGTGGTCTATTTAAGCAAAACGGCCGGAAGGGGTGTGGTCTATTTAATCAATAAGGCCTGAGTGGGTGTGGTCTATTTAAGCAATAAGGTCTGAGTGGGTGTGGTCTATTTAAGCAGTAAGGCCTGAGTGGGTGTGGTCTATTTAATAAATAAGGCCTGAGTGGGTGTGGTCTATTTAAGCAATAACGCCTGAGTGGGTGTGGTCTATTTAAGCAAAACGGCCTGAGTGGGTGTGGTCTATTTAAGCAATAAGGCCGGAAGGGGTGTGGTCTATTTAAGCAAAAAGGCCTGAGTGGGTGTGGTATATTTAAGCAAAACGGCCTGAGTGGGTGTGGTATATTTAAGCAATAAGGCCGGAAGGGGTGTGGTCTATTTAATCAATAAGGCCTGAGTGGGTGTGGTCTATTTAAGCAATAAGGTCTGAGTGGGTGTGGTCTATTTAAGCAATAAGGCCTGAGGGGGTGTGGTCTATTTAAGCAATAAGGCCTGAGTGGGTGTGGTCTATTTAAACAATAAGGCCTGAGGGGGTGTGGTCTATTTAAGCAATAAGGCCTGAGGGGGTGTGGTCTATTTAAGCAATAAGGCCTGAGTGGGTGTGGTCTATTTAAACAATAAGGCCTGAGGGGGTGTGGTCTATTTAAGCAAAACGGCCGGAAGGGGTGTGGTCTATTTAATCAATAAGGCCTGAGTGGGTGTGGTCTATTTAAGCAATAAGGTCTGAGTGGGTGTGGTCTATTTAAGCAGTAAGGCCTGAGTGGGTGTGGTCTATTTAAGCAAAACGGCCTGAGTGGGTGTGGTCTATTTAAGCAAAACGGCCTGAGTGGGTGTGGTCTATTTAAGCAATAAGGCCTGAGGGGTGTGGTCTATTTAAGCAATAAGGCCTGAGGGGGTGTGGTCTATTTAAACAATAAGGCCTGAGGGGGTGTGTTCTATTTAAGCAATAAGGCCTGAGTGGGTGTGGTCTATTTAAGCAATAAGGCCTGAGTGGGTGTGGTCTATTTAAACAATAAGGCCTGAGTGGGTGTGGTATATTTAAGCAATAAGGCCTGAGTGGGTGTGGTCTATTTAAGCAATAAGGCCTGAGTGGGTGTGGTCTATTTAAACAATAAGGCCTGAGGGGGTGTGGTCTATTTAAGCAAAACGGCCTGAGTGGGTGTGGTATATTTAAGCAATAAGGCCTGAGTGGGTGTGGTCTATTTAAACAATAAGGCCTGCGTGGGTGTGGTCTATTTAAGCAAAACGGCCTGAGTGGGTGTGGTCTATTTAAGCAGTAAGGCCTGAGTGGGTGTGGTCTATTTAAGCAAAACGGCCTGAGTGGGTGTGGTCTATTTAAGCAATAAGGCCTGAGTGGGTGTGGTATATTTAAACAGTAAGGCCTGAGTGGGTGTGGTATATTTAAGCAATAAGGCCTGAGTGGGTGTGGTCTATTTAAGCAAAACGGCCTGAGTGGGTGTGGTATATTTAAGCAATAAGGCCTGAGTGGGTGTGGTCTATTTAAACAATAAGGCCTGAGGGGGTGTGGTCTATGGCCAATATACCACGGCTAAGGGCTGTTCTAATGCACGAAGCGGAGTGCCTGGATACAGCCCTTATCCGTGGCATATTGGCCATATATCCAAACCCCCGAGATGCCTAACTGCTATTATAAACTGGTTACCAACGTAATTAGAACAGTAAACAAGTGATTTTGTGTCATAGTATGTCGTTGTATACGGTCTGATATACCACAGGTTTTCAGCCAATCAGCATCCAGGACCCAAACTACCTGTTTTGTGTTTTCTAGACACCCTAAATAAAATCTCTCCTCCTTCTTTCTCAGCTATGTGTGATCTGCCTGCTCCAGTGAATGTGACACTCTCCTCCAGCCATTTTGTCCACCTTCTGAAATGGGATCCAGGCCCGGAGTCCCCCGGGGGTGTGTACTACCTGGTCAAGGTTTGCTCTGACGGGTATGTGTGTATGATGCAGGTGTGTCATTCTGTCATCCCAATCTGTCTTCCCTGCATTTGTTCTTTGGGAGATTGAGTACTGTAATCACAACATATTATAGACCTAGATGGAGATAGACTTGTCAGAACATGACTGGGTGTGTCTTCTTGCATATTAGCTCAATGATACACACACCATACTTACTACTGTGGTCTATTTAATCAATAAGACCTGAGTGGGTGTGGTATATTTAAGCAATAAGGCCTGAGTGGGTGTGGTATATTAAAGCAATAAGGCCTGAGTGGGTGTGGTATATTAAAGCAAAACTGCCTGAGTGGGTGTGGCGTATTTAAACAATAAGGCCTGAGGGGGTGTGGTCTATGGTGGTCCTCTGTAGCTCAACTGGTAGAGCACGGCGCTTGTAACGCCAAGGTAGTGGGTTCGATCCCTGGGACCACCCATACACAAAAAAAAAAAAAAAATGTATGCACGCATGACTGTAAGTCGCTTTGGATAAAAGCGTCTGCTAAATGGCATATTATAAACTGAAATAACACTAATTTCAGTTAATAATAACAATTATAATAACAATTACTGTGTAATGTTCGTCCAACGAGCAAACAAATAAGTCAAAGTTAACTCAATAAACTTCTGTTGGTCTTGAACCTCTCTCTCTCTCTCTCTCTCTCTCTCTCTCTCTCTCTCTCTCTCTCTCTCTCTCTCTCTCATCCCTGTGTTTTGTTCCCCCTGTACAGAATGGTTGGACAGCCTTGGGAAGTGGTGGCTGGTTGTGAGCATGTGGAGTTCCCTCTGGAGTGTAACCTGACTAAAGCATTCTCTAGCCGCAATCACATCTACTACAACCAGGTGTTCACTGTGTTGGGGAACCAAGTCTCACTCCCGGCCTACCAAAAAGGCTTTAAACCCATCACCGACAGTGAGTGTCAGCATTTCCTCAGTCAAGCCAAAGGAGAGCAGGCCAGTGCTTATCAGGGTTGTGGGGGAAGGAGGGACCGGGGATGGAGTTTGTAGGGTTAACGTTAAAATACTTTGGAGTTGTGTTCAGGAGCACTAGCAGTGCTTGTCAAATAGAACCACTAGTAGGCCTACACATTCTCCATATGTACTCCACACGTTCTCCTACGTTCTCCATACGTTCTCCATTAAAAAAAAAAAATATGTTCTCCCCTTTGGATAGACTTTAAAACAGCTTGGTTGCAAAGCAACCACTGAGTGCTGTTTGTCCCTCTGTGTGTCCTGTAGCCCACCTGGATCCACCCGTGGTGAGTGTGAGGGCCTGTGGCAGCACTCTGTGTGTGGGCCTGAGGCCTCCTGTGGACGGCCTGCGGGATCTCTACGACAGATTCCACTACAAATTCAACATCAGTAGCAGCACCAGGCTTGGAGCTACGGTGAGGACAGGAAGAGCCAAACCTTTTGAAAATCTAAAACATGCCTAGGGGTTGGGGCTATATGGGTCCATTTGAAATTGAGTGACACATTCACACACAGTATAACGCACACTGCATCATCAGATATGCTTATTATTGCATGACATGTTCTTATTTCAGTGCTAAATATCTCTTCAGTGTGTTCAAGCATGATGCATGGTTTGATTGGTTTTAAAAAATATATATATTTGCCACATGCGCCGAATACAACAGGTGAAATGCTTACTTACAAGCCCTTAACCAACAATGCAGTTTTAAGAATTAAAAAAGAGGTACAAAAATAGATAAGTTAAAAATAAAGCAATGCAAATAGTCCGGGTAGCCATGATTAGCTGTTAAGGAGTCTTATGGCTTGGGGGTAGAAGGTGTTAAGAAGCCTTTTGGACCTAGACTTGGCGCTCCGGTACCGCTTGCCATGCGGTAGCAGAGAGAACAGTCTATGACTAGGGTGGCTGGAGTCTTTGACAATTTTTAAGGCCTTCCTCTGACACCGCCTGGTATAGAGGTCCTGGATGGCAGGAAGCTTGGCCCCAGTGATGTACTGGGCCGTACGCACTACCCTCTGTAGTGCCTTGCGGTCGGAGGCCGAGCAATTGCCATACCAGGCAGTGATGCAACCAGTCAGGATGCTCTCGATGGTGCAGCTGTAGAACTTTTTGAAGTCTCCTGAGGGGGAATAGGCTTTGTCGTGCCCTCTTCACGACTGTCTTGGTGTGTTTGGACCATGATAGTTTGTTGGTGATGTGGACACCAAGGAACTTGAAGCTCTCAACCTGTTCCACTACAGCCCCGTCGATGAGAATGGGGGTGTGCTCAATCCTCTTTTCTTTCCTGTAGTCCACAATCTTCTCCTTTGTCTTGATCACATTGAGGGAGAGGTTGTTATCCTGGCACCACACGGCTAGGTCTCTGACTTCCTCCCTATAGGCTGTCTCATCGTTGTCTGAGATCAGGCCTACCACTGTTGTGTCATCGGCAAACTTAATGATGGTGTTGGAGTCGTGCCTGGCCATGCAGTCATGAGTGAACAGGGAATACAGGAGGGGACTGAGCACGCACCCCTGAGGGGACTGAGCACGCACCCCTGAGGGGCCCTCGTGTTGAGGATCAGCGTGGCAGATGTGTTGTTACCTACCCTTACCACCTGGGGGCAGCCCGTCAGAAAGTCCAGGATCCAGTTGCAGAGGGAGGTGTTTAGTCCCAGGGTCCTTAGCTTAGTGATGAGCTTTGAGGGCACTACCCTTTAGCTCAATGCGGATGTTGCCTGTAATCCATGGCTTCTGTTTGGGGTATGTACGTACGGTCACTGTAGGGACGACGTCATCGATGCACTTATTGATGATGCGAGTGACTGATGTGGTGTACTCCTCAATGCCATCGGAAGAATCCCGGAACATATTCCAGTCTGTGCTTGCAAAACAGTCCTGTAGCTTAGCATCTGCGTCATCTGACCACTTCCTTATTAAACGAGTCACTGGTGCTTCCTGCTTTAGTTTTTGCTTATAAGCAGGAATCAGGAGGATATAATTATGGTCAGATTTGCCAAATGGAGGGCGAGGGAGAGATTTGAACGCGTCTCTGTGTGTGGAGTAAAGGTGGTCTAGAGTTTTTTTTCCTCTAGTTGCACATTTAACATGCTGGTAGATTATACAGCTCGTTGAGTACAGTTTTAGTGCCAGCATTGGTTTGTGGTGGTAAATAGACAGCTACGAAAAATATGGAGGAAAACTCTCTTGGTAAATAGTGTGGTCTACAGCTTATCATGAGATACTCTACCTCAGGAGAGCAAAACCTTGAGACTTCCTTAATATTAGATTTCGTGCACCAGCTGTTGTTTACAAATATACTGTTGTGTGTCCAGTTCTCTGTGCAGACGGAGTCTCTGAAAGGAGTGATTCTAAAGGACCTGGCTCCAGGCAGAGAGTACTGTGTCTCCGTCAGCATCTTAGACAACCAGGAGATTCGCACAAAGAGCTCTTCCTACAGCCAACCACACTGTGCTTTCACTGCTGCCAAGTACACCGCAGGTACACTGTGTGTGTGTGTGTGTTTGTGTGTGTGTGTGTGTGTGTGCGCGCAAATACAGTGGGGAGAACAAGTATTTGATACACTGCCGATTTTGCAGGTTTTCCTACTTATAAAGCATGTAGAGGTCTGTAATTTTTATCATAAGTACACTTCAACTGTGAGAGACGGAATCTAAAACAAAAATCCAGAAAATCACATTGTATGATTTTTAAGTAATTAATTAGCATTTTATTGCATGACATAAGTATTTGATCACATACCAACCAGTAAGAATTCCGGCTCTCACAGACCTGTTAGTTTTTCTTTAAGAAGCCCTCCTGTTCTCCACTCATTACCTGTATTAACTGCACCTGTTTGAACTCGTTACCTGTATAAAAGACACCTGTCCACACACTCAATCAAACAGACTCCAACCTCTCCACAATGGCCAAGACCAGAGAGCTGTGTAAGGACATCAGGGATAAAATTGTAGACCTGCACAAGGCTGGGATGGGCTACAGGACAATAGGCAAGCAGCTTGGTGAGAAGGCAACACCTGTTGGCGCAATTATTAGAAAATGGAAGAAGTTCAAGATGACGGTCAATCACCCTCGGTCTGGGGCTCCATGCAAGATCTCACCTCGTGGGGCATCAATGATCATGAGGAAGGTGAGGGATCAGCTCAGAACTACACGGTCAATGACCTGAAGAGAGGGGGCCATGTATCGCAAGGTCTTGGCCAACAACCTCCTTCCCTCAGTAAGAGCATTGAAGATGGGGCGTGGCTGGGTCTTCCAGCATGACAACGACCCGAAACACACAGCCAGGGCAACTAAGGAGTGGCTCCGTAAGAAGCATCTCAAGGTCCTGGAGTGGCCTAGCCAGTCTCCAGACCTGAACCCAATACAAAATCTTTGGAGGGAGCTGAAAGTCCGTATTTCCCAGCGACAGCCCCGAAACCTGAAGGATCTGGAGAAGGTCTGTATGGAGGAGTGGGCCAAAATCCCTGCTGCAGTGTGTGCAAACCTGGTCAAGACCTACAGGAAACGTATGATCTCTATAATTGCAAACAAAGGTTTCTGTACCAAATATTAAGTTCTGCTTTTCTGATGTATCAAATACTAATGTCATGCAATAAAATGCAAATTAATTACTTAAAAATCATACAAGGTGATTTTCTGGATTTTTGTTTTAGATTCCGTCTCTCAAGTGTACCTATGATAAAAATTACAGACCTCTACATGCTTTGTAAGTAGGAAAACCTGCAAAATCGGCAGTGTATCAAATACTTGTTCTCCCCACTGTATGTGTCCATGCTAGTAGTCTTTGCGTCCTGACTGTCTCTCTCTCTCCACAGACACAGAGATCTCAGTGGTTTTGTGTTTGCTTGTGTTGTTTGGGCTGTGTGCTGCCCTACTGGTCCACACTGGATTCATCTGTCTGAGACAACCCCTTCCAGAAGTACTGGTAAGCTATAGACTGATACAGTTAGATCTATTCCAGCCCTGGTTTCAATCAATCAATCAAATGTATTTTATAAAGCCCTTTTTACATCAGCAGTTGTCACAAAGTACTTTACAGATACCCAGTCTAAAACCCCAAAGAGAAAGCAATGCAGAAACTAGGGAAAAACTCCCTAGAAGGCAGGACGTGATTGGAATACTCGATCAGAAGGGGTCTGGGACAAGGTTGCACTGTCTGACGAGTGTTGGGTAACTCATAGCATAAAGTCACATCACAAACCTTAGCTTTAGCGCTTAGCTTTAGCGCTTGGCTTTAGCGCTTGGCTTTAGCGCTTGGCTTTAGCGCTTGGCTTTAGCGCTTGGCTTTAGCGCTTGGCTTTAGCGCTTAGCTTTAGCGCTTAGCTTTAGCGCTTGGTAAAAGGTCAACAGGAGGCTCAGACAGGGGAGCCCTGCACAATTATTTTTTAATCTTCAACATAGAAATGCTACTAAAAATAATTTACTGAAACTTGTTACAAGTGATGGAGTCACCAATGATTCACCAAACAATATTTTCAAAGAGGAAGCAAAGTACTTTAAGCACGTTTTCGTTTAGTCTCCTCCATCTCCACTAACCGAAGATAATTGTATGGATTTGTTTTCTATTAAAAATGTAAAATTAACAGCTGTACAGAAAGACTCATGTGGAGGAACTTCTGGATGCAATTAAAGCCTTTAAGTCCGGGAAAACTCCAGGGTTGGATGGCATACCGGTGGAGGTATACCAAACCTTTTTGATGTACTCAGAGGACCGTTATTAGCACTCCTATAAAAATGGTAGATTATCAGATACTCAACAAGGTCTGATTTCATTATTACTGAAACAGGACCCAAGTGGTAAATATAAAGATCCAGTCCATTTAAAAAGTTGAAGGCCCCTTACACTTCAGTGTTGTGATGCAAAAATCCTAGCAAAATGCATATCGCATAGAATTAAAAAGGTATTGTCGGATAGTATTCATCCTAATCAGACAGGTTTTTTACATGGACGATACATTGGAGATCATATAAGACAAGTACTGGAAACAATAGAACACTATGAAAAATCTGGGAAACCAGGCCTGGTATTCATAGCTGACTTTGAAAAGGCTTTTGATAAAGTACGACTGGAATTTATATATAAATGCCTGGAATATTTCAATTTTGGAGAATCTCTTATAAAATGGGTTAAAGTTATGTATAGTAACCCTATGTGTAAAATAGTAAATAATGGCTACTTCTCAGAAAGTATTAAACTGTAAAGAGGAGTAAAACAAGGTTGTCTATTTATTATGGCCAATCGAAATGTTAGCTATTAAAATCAGATCCAATAATAATATCAAGGGGTTAGACATGAAAGGGCTTAAAAATATAGGTGTCATTGTACGCTGATGATTCATGCTTTCTTTTAAATCCACAACTTGAATCCCTCCACAGCCTCATAGAGGATCTAGATACTTTTTCTAACGTCTCTGGATTACAACCAAATTATGATAAATGTACTATATTACGTATTGGATCACTAAAAAAATACAACTTTTATATTACTGTGTAGTTTATCAATAAAATGGTCTGACGGTGATGTGGACATACTCGGTATACATATCCCGAAAGAAATAAATTATCTTACTACAATACAATTTAATAGAAAGATAGCGAAAATAGATACGATCTTGCTACCATGGAAAGGTAAATAGCTGTCTATTTGTGGAAAAATCCCCCTGATTAACTCTTTAGTCATGTCCCAGTTTACCTATTTGCTTATGGTCTTGCCTACGCCTAGCAACCTGTTTTATAAATTATTTGAGGAAAAAATATTCCATTTTATTTGGAACGGCATGCCAGACAAAATTAAACAGGCTCATTTATATAATGAATATGAATTCGGAGGGCAAAAATTATTAAATATTAAAGCATTAGACCTCTCAATAAAGGCTTTAGTCATACAAAAGTTATATTTAAATCCGAACTGGTTCTCTGGCAGATTAGTAACAATGTCTCACCCCGTGTTCTAGAATGGCCTTTTTCCCTTCAGATTTCATATTCAGATTACAACCTCTCACTTTCGGTTATTTGAAAATGAAATAATCTCCAAAATATCACTATTTTTAAAACAAGCTATAGAAAGTTGGTTGCAATTTCAGTTTAATCCACCAGAAAAGACAGAACAAATAATACAACAAATATTGTGGTTAAACTCAAATACACTAATTGATAAAAAATATATTATTTTTCACCACCAAAAAAAAAAAGTATAATCTTTGTCAATTATATCATAAATAGGACTGCTGGAGTTATGTCACACATGCAATGACTCCAACCAAATGCTTCCTGTAGTTGTTGATCAGTCTCTCACGTCGTTGTGGAGGAATTTTGGCCCACTCTTCCATGCAAAACTGCTTTAACTCAGTGACGTGTGGGTTTTCAAGCATGAACTGCTCGTTTCAAGTCCTGCCACAACATCTCAATTGGGATTAGGTCTGGACTTTGACTAGGCCATACCAAAACTTCCAATTTGTTGCTTTTTAGCAATTTTCATATAGACTTGATTGTGTGTTTTGGATCATTGTCTTGCTGCATGACCCAGCTGCGCTTCAGCTTCAGCTCACAGACGGATGGTCTGACATTCTCCAGTAGAATTCTCTGATACGGAGCAGAATTCATGGTTCCTTCTATTAAGGCAAGTCGTCCAGGTCCTGAGGCAGCAAAGCATCCCCAAACCATCACACCACCACCTCCATGCTTGACCTTTGGTATGATGTTCTTACTGTGGAATGCAGTGTTTGGTTTTCGCCATTCATAATGGGACCCATCTCGTCCAAAATGTTGACTCAAGTTTGCCAAAAAGCACCTGGATGATCATCAACACTCTTGGAAGAACGTTCTATGGACAGATGATTCAAAAGTATAACTTTTTGGACGACATGGTTCCAGTAATGCCAGTACTGTGTATATATAGGTAGAAACTGGATGGGCTTCAGAGGTAGATGGGAGGGGTTGATGGTAGCTGAAGGATGGGATTAAAAACAAACAAAAGATAACTTTTGTCAAATGTATATAGTATGTATAAGATGGAAGTAGAAGCCTAAGTGTTGTTGGCTATTAGTTTACTCCAATTAGGGGAGGGGTTGGTAGGGTTAGGGGAAAGAATAAAGGAAAATATATTTAAAAGATATATTTACAAAAAATATATATGGGGGATTGGAAATGATGCACATAATTACATTGATGGAAGTTACAATCTATCTGCACTATTAAAGCTGATCTACCCCCTAAAAAAAAAAACAACGTTTAAAAGTACGACAGAGGAAACAGGTCACACACACACACACACACACACACACACCACTGTGATACATGTGGTTGTGCTGTGGTCACATAGACCGAAAAGGCACAGTGTTTACCAGACAGCTGCAGCCCCAGCCTCCTGCAATCAGCTTGGTTCAAACAAAAACCCTCATCTTTCTCTCAGTCTGTTTATCGTATACTTTGTACAAAGTGCCACATTTTGTTACGTTACAGCCTTATTCTAAAATGGATTAAATACATTTTCCCCCTCATCAATCTACACACAATACCCCATAATGACAAAGCAAAAAAAAAAAAGATACTTAAAAAAAAACAACAGATACCTTATTTACGTAAGTATTCAGACCCTTTGCTATGAGACTCAAAATTTAGCTCCGGTGCATCCTGTTTCCATTGATCATCCTTGAGATGTTTCTACAACTTGATTGGAGTTCACCTGTGGTAAATTCAATTGATTGGACATGATTTTGAAAGGCACACACCTGTCTATATAAGGTCCCACAGTTGACAGTGCATGTCAGAGCAAAAACCAAGCCATGAGGTCGAAGGAATTGTCCGTAGAGCTCCGAGACAGGATTGTGTCAAGGCACAGATCTGGGGAACGTTACCAAAACATTTCTGCAGCATTGAAGGTCCCTAAGAACACAGTGGCCTCCATCATTCTTAAATGGAAGAAGTTTGGAACCACCAAGACTCTTCCTAGAGCTGGCCGCCCGGCCAAACTGAGCAATCTGGGGAGAAGGGCGTTGGTCAGGGAGGTCACCAAGAACCCGATGGTCACTTTGACAGAACTCCAGAGTTCCACTGTGGAGATGGTTGTCCTTCTGGAAAGTTCTCCCATCTCTGCAGCACTCCACCAATCAGGCCTTTATGGTAGAGTGGCCAGACGGAAGCCACTCCTCAGTAAAGGGCACATGACTGCCCGCTTGGAGTTTGCCAAAAGGCACCTAAAGGACTCAGACCATGAGAAACAAGATTCTCTGGTCTGATGAAACCAAGATTGAACTCTTTGGCCTGAATGCCAAGTGTCATGCCTGGAGGAAACCTGGCACCATCCCTATGGTGAAGCATGGTGGTGGCAGCATCATGCTGTGGGGATGTTTTTAGCGGCAGGGACTGGGAGACTAGTCAGGACCAAGGGAAATATGAACAGAGCAAAGTACAGAGAGAACTTGCTCTAGAGCACTCAGGACCTCAGACTGGGGCGAAGGTTTACCTTCCAACAGGACAACGACCCTAAGCACACAGCCAAGTCTCTGAATGTCCTCGGATGGCCCGGACTTGAACCCAATCGAACATCTCTGGCGAGACCTGAAAATAGCTGTGCAGTGACGCTCCCCATCCAACCTGACAGAGCTTGAGAGGATCTGCAGAGAAGAATGGGAGAAACTCCCCAAATACAGGTGTGCCAAGCTTGTAGCGTCATACCCTTAGAAGACTCAAGGATGTAACCGCTGCCAAAGGTGCTTCAACAAAGTACTGAGTAAATGGTCAGAATACTTATGTAAATGTAATATTTGTCATACAGGGAAGGGATTTAAACCGGCAGGTAGCTTAGTGGGTAAGAGCGTTGTGCCAGCAACCGAAAGGTCGCTGGTTCTAATCCCCGAGCCGACTAGGTGAAAAATCTGTCGATGTGCCCTTAAGCAAGGCACTTAACCCTAATTGCTCATGTAAGTCGCTCTGGATAAGAGCGTCTGCTAAATATGTAAAATGTAATGAATTAACATGAATGTGTCATACAGGGAAGGGATTTAAACCACATAGCTGAATTAACATGAATGTGTCATACAGGGAAGGGATTTAAACCACATAAACCATGGAAGTGATTTATGCTGCATTCAAAACAACTGGGAACTCTGAAAATACCGAGCTCGGACTGGGAAAAATAGAATTGAATGGTCATCCAACATGATTTTACATCGTATTTTTCCGAATTCCCAGTTGTTTTGAACGCAGCATTAAACCACAGCTGAATTAACATGAACGTGTCGTACAGGGGATGGGGGAGTCTGATTTAAACCACAGCTGAATTAACATGTCATACAGGGAAGGGGGAGTCTAAGCTAACACTCTGCTAATGAAAGCTAGGTTGTTTCCCAACCGCTCACGATTTGATCTGTTCTATCATGAAGCGTCGACCACAGCAGTGCTTTAGTGTTTATGAGGTGACCTTGGTCACAGGCTCACACATGGTGTCAAAAGAGGTGCAGCGCTCTATTGATTTAAGACTGTGTTTTTATCAACGTATTACATTTGTTAAACTTTTACATTTCGGGTGGACATATTCTTATTCTGTGATAAGTGTCTGACTACACATCTCCTAACCTCACAGATGATCTGTGTCTCTTCTCTGCAGAGCTCAATACAACACAAGGAGGATAACCTACATCCAGTGCCATATGATGAGGAACGATGTCTCTCAGGGCATGTAGTGCCACCATCGCCCCCTTCAGGAAGCACTGGGAAGGACGGAGCGAGTGATGAAGAAGGTGAGGGCGAGACGGAGGGGGAGAGAAGCAGTGGGGGAGGACAAGGATACAAGACACGAGGGATCACTGCCGATCTGACCTCTCGTAACCCCCTCTCCTCCTCCTCCTCCTCCTCTTCCTCTAGAACAGAGGTGTTCCTACACCCCTATCCAAAAGCACACTTCTCGGCATATCCCACTGCCACATCCACAGACACTCAGACCACTGCTGAGACAGAGTCCAACCGTCCTCACGTTCCTGTCTTCATAACCAGCGACCAACAGCCTACATCTCTGCACAGGCCTGACCGCCTCTCAATGTCCCTATCAAACAACCATCCACTGTCTAAACCCTCACAAACCAGTCAGCTTCCAGAGTCAGCTCGGTGTGCCTCACGGGGACAGGACTTGAGCTTCAGTCTCTCCTCAGAGAGAGACACAGGGAATGTAGAGGGATTACATCCAGGGGAGGAGGAGGAGGAGGAGGGGAGCTGCCTGGATGTTAACCTGCTGTCTGTAACCCTAGGTAGGCATGAGGAGATGAAGAGGCAGAGAGAGATGATGGAACCAGAACATCTCTCTCTGGGGGAGCCCCCCGAGCCCACCACTCCCTTCCTGCCCTCTGACACCAAGTGTTGGGCCCCAGAGCCTGTCACAACACAGACACAGACTGCTACCTCTGAGGTTGAGGAAGAGGAGGAAGAGGAAGAGGAGGAGGATTCTGGTTACATGAGGCGATGAGAGAAGTCATTTGTTACACAATTAACCAACTATCCAACTATCCGTTCCATTTTTGAGAGTTTTTTAAATGTATTAATGAAAGCCATATGGTGCTGACTAGTGGGCATTCACTGTACTCTTCTGGCCTAAATATCACATAGTCTTCCCAAGGTAGACTGAAGTGGCTTCCTCTCCTTGTCCCTCTTCCTTTATCTGCACTAAAGTAAAAAAAAAAAAAACTGTTTATCTCTCCACCATATTCCTTTCACTTCTCCTGTATTTTCAAACCAGTTCAAATGTAAAAGAGCCAATGGATTTGCTGGCTACCCAAAGTCCTTGTTCCGGCCATACGCTATGCCACACCCCCGGACGTTAGTTTCTTCTCCGCAACGAGTCTGGATCTGAGTACCTCCCCGACGATTTCTAGAATGCAAAACACATTCTAACCTTTCTGATTGGTCCCAGAAACCGATGGGTTGGGCCAGTCAGAACACACATGGGTAAAGCGGTATTTAGAAAAATGTGTAATTGGCTTGATGCTCTGATTGGTTAGAGATTATCCAATCGCTGATGACTTTGTTTTGTACAACACCCCCCATTTTGATGTCACCACAAATGACTTCAGTCTCAGACTGAAGTATGTAGCGAACGATAGAACAGCGGAAGAATTCAGTTTCAGTCGTCAGGCAACCAATAGTACTGATTACGACTATACTAAATGATTACATAAAGTATTCAGACAAATATAATTATGTTTTTTACATCATGAAATTGTTAAAGTAGATATTACCTCTAACTAGTTATCAAGAGGTTGTGCTAAGTTGCTAACTTGAATGCGAGGGCCATTATCAAAAGTTACATTAGGTTTACAAGTACTTTGGGGTTATATATTATCGATGTTCACAGACAGCAATAGAACTGCTGGCTAATATTAATGAGCAAATGTCGATGGGCGTCATTGATCAAGCTATACAATACAGTATTCTGTACTTATTCACAAGTTTAAAGGTCAACATACTTTTTAGTGTTTATGCGATCGTCGTAGTAACCTTCTTTACTTGCTTTTTGCTATACTGTAGAAAACATTTAATCAAACTTACATATTCAGGAAAAAGTAGTCATTTTGAAGAGTGTTTTATACATGTTTGGTAATCAATGCAAAAATAGATTCTGTTTATTGGTAAAATAAATGTAATATTTGTTAACGCCAAGGGTACAATGAATAATACAAACATTTTGTAATGAATCTTGTCATTTTTTTAATGTAATAAAATATTTTTCTATACAATCTTAAAATGTGTTGTATCGTTTGTTATGAACACAGTTCAGAAACTATTCAGTACAACATTAGAAGCTTCATGTTCATGACAGATATGTATACTGTATCCTTCAGACCACAGAAACACAACTAATACAGCATACACTTCAAACATTCACAAATATTATACCAAAATGGACAGCAAAGAAATACACTGAGTGTACAAAACATTAAGAACACCGTCCTAATATTGACTTGCACCCCTCAGAACAGCCTCAATTTGTCGGGGCATGGACTCTACCAGGTGTCGAGGTGTTCCACAGGGATGCTGGCCCATGTTGACTCCAATGCTTCCCACAGTTGTGTCAAGTTGGCTGGATGTCCTTTGGGTGGTCGGCCATTCTTGATACACACAGGAAACTGTTGAGCGTAAAAAACCTAGCAGCGTTGCAGTTCTTGACACAAACCTGTGCGCCTGGCACCTACTACCATACCCCGTTCAAAGGCACTTAAATCTTTTGTCTTGCCCATTCACCCTCTGAATGACACACACACACAATCCATGTCTCAATTGTCTCAAGGCTTAAAAATCCTTCTTCAACCTGTCTCCTCCCCTTCATCTACACTGAAGTAGATTTAACAGGTGACATCAATAAGGGATCATAGCTTTAATCTGGATTCACCTGGTCAGTCTATGTCATGGGAAGAGTAGCTTCCTTATCTACAGTATCTTATCTTCATTCTTTTTATTCTCTAAAACATCATTTTCTTGACATGATTGATGTGTTATCATGTGTATTATCTCTGGTACTATTATTTTGCTCTGCTAAAATATCTCTCTCTGTCTCTCTGACTGTCCTGTTTAATACCTGTCTCTCTGACTGTCCTGTTTAATACGTGTCTCTCTGACTGTCCTGTTTAATACCTGACTCTCTGGCTGTCCTGTTTAATACCTGTCTCTCTGGTTGTCCTGTTTAATACCTGTCTTTCTGACTGTCCTGTTTAATACCTGTCTCTCTGACTGTCCTGTTTAATACCTGTCTCTCTGACTGTCCTGTTTAATACCTGTCTCTCTGACTGTCCTGTTTAATACCTGTCTCTCTGACTGTCCTGTTTAATACCCATCTCTCTGACTGTCCTGTTTAATACCTGTCTCTCTGACTGTCCTGTTTAATATCCGTCTCTCTGACTGTCCTGTTTAATATCCGTCTCTCTGACTGTCCTGTTTAATACCTCTCTCTGACTGTCCTGTTTAATACCTGTCTCTCTGACTGTCCTGTTTAATATCCGTCTCTCTGACTGTCCTGTTTAATATCCGTCTCTCTGGCTGTCCTGTTTAATACCTGTCTCTCTGACTGTCCTGTTTAATACCCGTCTCTCTGGCTGTCCTGTTTAATACCCGTCTCTCTGGCTGTCCTGTTTAATACCTGTCTCTCTGACTGTCCTGTTTAATACCCGTCTCTCTGGCTGTCCTGTTTAATACCCCTCTCTCTGGCTGTCCTGTTCTGTGTGACTGTCTATCATTTAGATGTTTTGTCTGTGTCTCCCTCCCTCCCTCTCTGTCTCTGCCTGTCTGTCTGTATGTTCCAGTGGTGTGCCTGCTTCCAGTGGTGTGCCAACTTGGAGCACACTCTGACCTGGCTGCCTGGTCCAGGGACTCCTGCCAACACCCACTTCACAGTTCAGAGCCTCAGGTACACGCACACTTACACCTCAGTCCCATGGTTTCATTTTTATATCCTTCTAGTGTAGCTGCTGAGTAAGTGCTTTCATTTCAGCTGGTTACGTGGTAAAGGCAATACTGAATCACTGCAATCTAGGACAGGCACACCACTGGTAGAAATAGAATGGCGTAACAAAATGCATGACATTACCAGACCACAGCTGTCCCATTCTCTGGGTAGCGGTCTAGTTGGTAGAGCATGGCGCTTGCAACGCCAGGGTTGTGGGTTCGATTCCCACGGGGGGGCCAGTATGAAAAATGTATGCACTCAGTAACTGTAAGTCGCTCTGGATAAGAGCGTCTGCTAAATTATGACAATGAAAATGTGGAAAAAGGGGGGAGTGGTCTGAATACTTTCTGAATCCACTGTATCTACTTCATTTGGAGGTTGTTGTTTTTTACAGTGTAGAGATACGTCAAAGGACACTGGCTACATGTACCTAGAAAAGAAAGCAAGTTCTGAGAATGTGGTCAAACCCACTCACATTCTCTTTGAATAGAACCTGAGAATAACATCAGGGCATGGATGAGAAAGCAGATCAGTTTCTTTCTAATATAATAATTGAATCCGGCACATTTGTCCTCTCTTGAGGGGTTGTTTACGTCGTACTGCAGATGTAGATACATGTGGTTTTGCTCACTACTTCCTCTCACAAGCACACGGTCTGTTTGATTTCAAGGAAAGTCATCTCTCGCTCTAAGAAGTACACCAACACAGGTTCAGGGGGAGGGGGAGGGGACTCTTCATCTCTAACCCACAGGTTCAGGGGGAGGGGGCTCTTCATCTCTAACCCACAGGTTCAGGGGGAGGGGACTCTTCATCTCTAACCCACAGGTTCAGGGGGAGGGGGCTCTTCATCTCTAACCCACAGGTTCAGGGGGAGGGGGCTCTTCATCTCTAACCCACAGGTTCAGGGGGGGGGGGCTCTTCATCTCTAACCCACAGGTTCAGGGGGAGGGGGCTCTTCATCTCTAACCCACAGGTTCAGGGGGAGGGGGCTCTTCATCTCTAACCCACAGGTTCAGGGGGAGGGGGCTCTTCATCTCTAACCCACAGGTTCAGGGGGAGGGGGCTCTTCATCTCTAACCCACAGGTTCAGGGGGAGGGGCTCTTCATCTCTAACCCACAGGTTCAGGGGGAGGGGGCTCTTCATCTCTAACCCACAGGTTCAGGGGGAGAGGACTCTTCATCTCTAACCCACAGGTTCAGGGGGAGGGGGCTCTTCATCTCTAACTCACAGGTTCAGGGGGAGGGGGCTCTTCATCTCTAACCCACAGGTTCAGGGGGAGGGGGCTCTTCATCTCTAACCCACAGGTTCAGGGGGAGAGGACTTCATCTCTAACCCACAGGTTCAGGGGGAGGGGGCTCTTCATCTCTAACCCACAGGTTCAGGGGGAGGGGGCTCTTCATCTCTAACCCACAGGTTCAGGGGGAGGGGGCTCTTCATCTCTAACCCACAGGTTCAGGGGGAGGGGGCTCTTCATCTCTAACCCACAGGTTCAGGGGGAGAGGACTTCATCTCTAACCCACAGGTTCAGGGGGAGGGGACTCTTCATCTCTAACCCACAGGTTCAGGGGGAGGGGGCTCTTCATTTCTAACCCACAGGTTCAGGGGGAGGGGGCTCTTCATCTCTAACCCACAGGTTCAGGGGGAGGGGGCTCATCTCCTCATCGCTAACCCACAGTTTAATTGTCAATGTGGTGCAGATGAATCTAATACAAGATAACAATGAATGAGCAAAACCTAAGTCATAGGACATCCATAGCATTACAGTGTAGCATTGTAAAATATGGCTATAAACATTAGCTATATAAACATTGTGACAATATCTCTGCTGTTTTGCAGTTCAGCCAGTGGGTCACCTCCACTAAGGAGACTGTGATTGGGTACCCGGAGTATTGCGTGACCGTCACCCCGGCTACATCCTTTAGACCTCACTCTGTCCCCTCTGAGCCCCACTGTGCCTTCACCAGCCCTCCTGCCACCAGCACAGGTAACGTACCAGGACCTAACAGCACAGCTAAGACCACACAGTGTAGTACAACATAGCAATACAGCACATGTAAATCCGTTATACACAACCAGACATCATTTTACATCAGTGTTTACATTATAGCCCCCAACCCTTGGTGTCTGTCTGTCCCTCAGTGTCTGTGGTACTGAGTGTACTGTGTGCATTCAGCTTCCTGGTGGCGCTCTTCTGTGGAGTTGTGGTCTACAGTGGTCACTTGCACAAAACTCTCCTCAAAACACTGGTGCTGTTGCCACTTTATTCAGCTGTACACTGAAACTTTGAGTTAAATTCAATACAGATGTATTTATTCACATTGGGGGGAAAGAAAATTCCATCAATATCATTATAATGATTCTAATATATCCCCTCCTGTCTCTAATCTCTGATTGCAGCCCTCTGTTCCCTGCTATGGTGTTGGTTAGTCACCCCCAGATGACCCCCAGCATGACCCCTTCAACCTGCTCTCAGGCCTGCCTCTGGGGTCCCCTAGACTGGGGTTGGACCCCCATTACATTCAGTCTGTCACTCCCAGACCAGACACCAGGGAGGAGATCTGTCCCAGACCAGACCAGACACTGAGGAGGAGATCTGTCCCAGGGCCAGACCATACACCAGGGAGGAGATCTGTCCCAGGGCCAGACCATACACCAGGGAGGAGATCTGTCCCAGACCAGACCATACACCAGGGAGGAGATCTGTCCCAGACCAGACACCAGGGAGGAGATCTGTCCTAGACCAGACCATACACTGAGGAGGAGATCTGTCCTAGACCAGACCATACACTGAGGAGGAGATCTGTCCCAGACCAGACCATACACCAGGGAGGAGATCTGTCCCAGACCAAACCATACACCAGGGAGGAGATCTGTCCTAGACCAGACCATACACTGAGGAGGAGATCTGTCCCAGACCAAACCATACACCAGGGTGATCTGTGGAGGAATAAGATGAAGGCTATGGACTGGTGGTCTCCTTGGGATCATATATATATTTAATCCACAAAGGATCCAGTGATAACATTTACACTAATCATATTTCAGTCTGGGTCAAGGAAAAATCATATTATTCTAAGTCGCATAACCTTGTGAATAAAGCTGCTCTGTGATTGGTTATTACCATGTAAAAAAATTGGCATATAGAGTATATTGTCATGCAAAACAAAATGTGAAATGCATGTAATCTTTCAATTAATGTATTGAACTATGTAATATTCAACAGGTAGTTTGGGTTTTATTATATACCTATAATAAGAGGGAAATGTATATTTTTATTTTAATACTTTATTATTGACACTGAATGTAGCAAGGCAAGGACATTCTGTCAGCGAATGTAACTATGTTTCCATGGCACTGGTTAGAGTCCAGGCTCTGTGGCATCCGGACGCGACCGGGAGACCCATGGGGCGGCGCACAATTGGCCCAGCGTCGTCCAGGGTAGGGGAGGGTTTGGCTGGCAGGGATGTTCTTGTCCCATCGCACACTAGCGACTCCTGTGGCGGGCTGGGCGCAGTGCACGCTGACTCGGTCGCCAGGTGTACGGTGTTTCCTCAGACACATTGGTGCGGCTTGCTTCCGGGTTAAGCGGGCACTGTTTCAAGAAGCAGTGCGGCTCGGTTGGGTTGTGTTTCGGAGGACGCACGACTCTCGACCTTCGCCTCTTCCGTGTCCGCACGGGAGTTGCAGCAATGAGACAAGACTGTAACTACCAATTGAATATCACGAAATTGGGGAGAAAAAGGGGGTAAAATACCCCAAAAATAAAATAATAGATTTCAAGGAACACTTAACCAGCATGGCTACCAAAGCATTCTGCAGCGATACGCCATCCCATCTGGTTTGGGCTTAGTGGGACTATCATTTGCTTTTCAACAGGACAATGACCCAACACACCTCCAGGCTATTTTACCAAGAAGGAGAGTGATGGAGTGCTGCATCAGATGACCTGGCCTCCACAATCCCCCGACCTCAACCCAATTGAGATGGTTTGGGATGAGTCGGACCGCAGAGTGAAGGAAAAGCAGCCAACAAGTGCTCAGCATATGTGGGAACTCCTTCAAGACTGTTGGAAAAGCATTCCAGGGGAAGCTGGTTGAGAGAATGCCAAGAGTGTGCAAAGCTGTCATCAAGGCAAAGGGTGGCTATTTGAAGAAACTCAAACATAAAATATATAACACTTCTTTGGTTACTACATGATTCCTATTTCATAGTTTTGATGTTTTCACTATTATTCTACAATGTAAAGAATAGTACAAATAAAGAAAAACCCTTGAATGAGTAGGTGTGTCCAAACTTTTAACTGGTACTGTATATCTGTGGCTGTAATTCTGAAAAAAAATATATATATTTTATAGCAGAGACAACAAATGGGAATATTTGTGCAATCAAAAGGGAATATTCACAAGGTACAGACCACACCTTCAACTGTATATGTTTAAGATATTTAATGCAATGAGTAACAGACAGGATGTGGGTGCTCAACATTACCCACTTTGTATGACACTTGAACTTTGCATGTCACATCTGTCACATGTGACTGGATCACAACAAGTCACATCTAGTATCCATTAAAAAAAGCAACATTCAGGGAATTTCCTTAATTTGAACATTTGCTCCGTACTTGAAGGGTAGTGGCCTGCAGTGAATAGATGTCTAAAGACCAAGTAATATCATGAAATCTAATTTTGTAACTTATAGAATATTTTATTTTATTTTGGATCCCAGGTCAAATGCAGCAATTACATTCACTTGTATTACCTATCAAGAGATGGAAGGGAGATAGAGAGTTTATTCAACCAAACCCATCGACACCCGTCTCTCCTCTCTCTCCCCCCACACCCACATCTCTCCATACTAGTGTCATCTGTCCATTTTCAGTAAAAAAACGCACTTGAAACAAATGTAAACCTTGAATTAAACCGATGGAATCAAAGAGCAGTTGAAACAAGAGTGAGCAAGGTTTAGTTTGAGGGGGATAAAGTTTTGTATGAGGGGGATAAAGTAGTTGACAAAAGCAAAGGAACTTCCCATAATGTATCCTAGAGAGAGATAGTGTGTAATGTTTACTGTTCATTTTTTATTGTTTATTTCACTTTAGTTTCCCATGCCAATAAAGCCCCTTAAATTGAATTGAGAGAGAGAGAGAGAGAGAGAGAGAGAGAGAGAGAGAGTGAGAGAGAGAGAGAGAGTGAGGGAGAGAGAGAGAGAGAGGTCATGCTCAACATGAGCTCCTGATTTATTTCAGTTTTCTTGTTTTTAGAATGAGATAAACACTCGAATCTAAAAAGAATTCAAGACAAGAAGTGATGAACAACAACTTTATTAAATCAGAATAGAAAAAAAGTAACTTTGCGCCTCAAATTAAGAAGTTTTGACTCACGCTAACTAGCTACACAACAAAAACCTAGCCAGCAGGCTAACAAGCCAGCCAGAAAATTGAGCTAGAACAAACCTAGCAAGGGGAGTTAATACAACTACATCAAACGACCAAACTGAGTGAGTAAATCAAAAAGAAGCACGGACTCTAACTTTAAACATATCTTCTGTTTTTGTGTGTGAAAATTTCTCTCTCTTTTTGCTGTTTTTTTGAGCTAAACAGGAGCTAGCTAACAACAGTAGCAGACAAACAAAACAGGTTGCCATGGCAACGGTGCAGCAGAACAGAGCAGCAGAGCCCACAGGCACCATGTCCCCACTCCCCCTCAGCGCTGAGTCCATTCTCTACCCTCCAGAGGCCAAAAATGACACAACAAGGAAAGCTTTTAAACAGAATCTACTAAAGGGGAGGGCAGAAACCCTTTTCACAGACCTCTACAAAAACGGTGACGTGAGTAATCTCATCTTTCTCACTGACCAGCCAAATGCATGGCGCTCAGCAGTCTGCTCTCACTACCCATCCGTAAAGAAAGAGGGAATCTGTAATGGGTGGAAGCTGAAAGTCAACCTCTAAAAGACTGGGACTGTCATGGTGCAAGGTAACTTTAGGCTGTTTGAAACAGACTTTCAGACCATTAAGGAGAGAGCAGAGAGAGAGAAGGACACCATCAGTGACATGCCTTCCCACAAGACAAACTCCACCAGCACCGCCCCCACCCCCACTATCCCCACCCAAAAAGGCACATCCAGCACCTCTCTTCCCACCATAGTGGAGGACACGCCCCAGGAGGAGAGCGACCCCCTCAGTGCAGAGCAGGCTCAGGCCCTCCTCACCACCATGGCTGCCATGAGGGATCAGTTCACCAAACTGGAGGGGGAGGTGGTCCTGCTCAGGGAGAGTGTGAGCAAACAGCAACCAGACATCCACACCTTAGAGGAGCTCCTAGCCAAGGTGCGGACGGAGTAGGACAGCAGCCTTGCAACACAAGCTGAAAGAAGTTCAGCAAGAGAGAGACGGACTCAAGAGAGAGCTGGCTGATCTAACAAAGGAGGTGAGAGAGCTCCAAAAAGACAGGCAGAGCAGTAATAACGAGCTGACCACACTAAGAGAGGAGCTGCAGGAAAGAAAGAGAACAGAGGACAGGCTGCAGGAGCAGCTAGATCACCACTCTATGACCTGCCCTCACACAGCAGAGGAGCCCACCTCAACCAGCCAGGCCTCCCCAGCCCTGGCGGCTGCATGCCTCCCCCCCAGCCTACAGAACAGCCTCCCACTGACAGCGGCACCGACACAGACCAGCCACACCCCAGCTCCAACACCCACCAGCCCCAACTCTACCCCCTCCAGTCCAGAAGAAACACTGGCTGAGATTGTCCTGTTGATGGACTCAAATGGGAAGTTTGTTCAGGAGAATAAACTTTTCCCTAGACACAAAACGAGAAAGGTGTGGTGCCCAACATCGCATAGTGCCATGGCGCTGATTGATAAGGCCCAGCTCGGGTCGCCAAGCCACATAATCATACACACCGGAAGCAACGACCTGCGTGCTCAGCAGGAGAGGGTGGCAACTTCACTACAGGGAGTGATTGAGAAGGCCACCGCAATCTTCCCCAACTCAAGGATTGTGGTGTCAACCCTTCTACAGAGGAAGGACTTCCACCCTGCCACAATCCAAAGAATAAACGCCAGCCTCTCCCGGGACTGTGCCCTGCGACCCAATGTACACCTGGCCCACCATCCCACCCTCCATCTGGACTGTCTCTATGACCATGTTCACCTGTACAGGGAGACAGTCCCCATCCTTGCTAAGACTCTCAGGGACGTCGCTTTAAACCTCATCCCGACCTCTCCACCCAGGAACAGCGGAGCAATCTCCACCCCCCCTGAGATCACCGTGACAACACCCCGGACCGGCACCCTGGACCCCACAGCCACGGCACCACCAACCTCAATGCCCACCACATCCAGCGCAGCACAGACCACCCTAGCCCAGCTTCAGACCAACCCAGACGAGGCCTAACACCCCCCTCCCCCCCACCGCAGACCCACACCTGGAGGAGCCGCAGCCCGGCAGACAGAGCTATGCACAAGCTGTGAGAGGAGCAACTGGCCCAGCTCCCACCAACGAAATGAGTGACATCAAACAAATGCTGAATCTACTATGCTCACATGTGATAGGCCGAGGGTCATGGTAAGATGAGCACAAGAACTCCACCATCCTCACACTACATCCACCCAAGTGGCATGACACAAATACTATCTTAAATGATAAACAAATCACATTTGCATTATAAGAGTTTACATTAATTGAAAAATCCTATTTTAATAGTTCTTGTTGGATTGTGAGTGTTTATCTCATTTTGAAGGTAAAGAAAAAACAGTTATGAAGTCTATTTACGTTGCATGTTGGAATTTACAAGGATTGAAGTCCTCTGCTTTTGGGCTAAAGAGCAGAAACCCAGACTTCCTTAAAGAAATTGATGATGTTGATATTGTAGTACTACAGGAAACATGGTGCAGAGGTGATGTTTCCACTGGCTGTCCACTAGGTTATAGGGAGATAATCGTACCATCCACCAAATTAAAAGGAATCACACAGGGCAGAGACTCAGGGGGAATGCTAATATGGTATAAATCTGAACTAACTAATTCAATCGAATTGGTCAAAACAGGAGAATTCTTTATCTGACTAAAAATCAACAAGGAGGCTATCTTAACAGATAAAAACGTCTTCCTCTGTGCCACATACATTCCCCCCTCAGAGTCACCCTACTTCAATGAAGATAGTTTCTCCATTCTAGAGGGGGAGATTAGTCACTTTCAGGCCCAAGGCACTGTGCTGGTCTGTGGAGACCTGAATGCTAGAACAGCAGAAGAACTAGACACTATTAACAGTCATGGGGACAAAAACCTACCGGGAAGCAACAACCTTTCCCTCCCCACATACCCCCCCAGAAACAACTATGACAAAGTGAAAAACAAAAATGGAGTACAGCTCCTGAAGCTCTGTCGAACACTGGGTCTGTACATAGTCAATGGTAGGCTAAGAGGGGACTATTTTGGTAGGTACACCTACAGCTCATCCCTTAGCAGCAGTACTGTAGACTACTTCATCACCGACCTCAACCCAGAGTCTCTCAGAGCCTTCACAGTCAGCCCACTAACACCTGAGAAGAGCAGAACCCAACCATGAAGCATCCCGGCCAATACATTACATGGTACTAAACAGGCCTATAGATAGAGTGCAAACAGTACAGAAATCTAACAAAAAGCAATTAGTAGCCAAAAAATACAATCTCTCCTGGGCAACGTTTTAGCCTTAACATTCTCCTACAGCAAAGAAGGTGTAAATTTGGCCGTTTGAAACATAAACTTTATATTTGACAAATTAGCCTCCTTGGCTAATCTTAAGAAACATAAGAGCAAACCAAAAAGAATAGATAATGAAAAATGGTTTGATAATGATTGCAAAAATCTAAGAAAGTCATTGAGAAATATATCTAATCAAAAACACAGTGACCCAGACAACAAAAATATATGCCTTCAATATGGGGAAACACTGAAAAAATACAAACACACCCTAAGAACAACAGAAGGTATGGGGTCCGCTCTCTAATACTGAATTTACCAAATGGGACAAATCGAAATACTGCATGCAGAGTTTTGCAAGACTGTATTGCAAGTGCAAAGAAAAACTCAAAATAACGCATGTAGAGCAGAATTGGGCCAATACCCCCTCCTTATTCGAATAGAAAAAAGAGCCATCAAATTTTACAACCATCTAAAAACAAGTGACCCCAAAACATTTAATCACACAGCCCTACAATGTCAAGAGATGAAACAAGAGAAGAGTCCCTTCAGCCAGCTGGTTCTGAGGCTAAGTTCACTAACCAAAACCAACCTCGTAGAGCCCCAGGACAGCACTCAGAAAATCTGGCCCAACCAAATCATCATTTGGCTCTAAACAGATAGTACATGGTGGCAGACTATCTGACCACTGTGACTGATAGAAAACTGATGAAAACAATGACTAGGTACAGACTCAGTGAGCGCAGTCTGGCTATAGAGATCGGTCGTCACAGGCAAACCTGGCTGCCCAGAGAGGACAGGCTGTGCTCACTCTGCCCCCGGGGAGAGGTAGAGACAGAGCTGCATTTCCTATTACACTGTGACAAATACTCAGACCTAAGAGAATCTTTCTTTCCCAAAATTATCATTCAGTACAAAGAGTTTGAAACTATAAAAGAGGAAGAACAAATCCAATATTTATTGGGTGAAAAGCCAAAATGTGCAATTTTGGCAGCCAAATATGTGTCCTCCTGCCACAACCTGAGGGACAGCCAGTGAAAAGTGTAATGTAATGTCAATAATATTTCCTGTGTTGTTTTGGCTTTCATACCATGTAATGTGTCTTCTCAGTCATGTTGAGATTGGGTCGACTACTATTGCTTTAATGTATTGTTATTCTCATTAATATTGTTGTTGTAGTTGCTGTTAATGGTAATCCCATTTCCACTACTACTATTATTATTATTGCTGTTGGTCCCACCATTTTTGTTATATCTATACTTTACATTTACATTACATTTACGTCATTTAGCAGACGCTCTTATCCAGAGCGACTTACAAATTGGTGCATTCACCTTATAGCCAGTGGGATCACCACTTTACACATTTTTTTTGGGGGGGGGGGGAGAAGGAATTACTTTATCCTATCCCAGGTCTTCCTTAAGGACAGACCTTGCGGAATT